AGACGTCTGTGTGGTACCTAGGGTACCCTGCTGTACAGCAGTTAATAGTCTTTTTGCTGGTCCCCATAGAAGTCAGTTGTTCTTGGTTCATTTGACACCAGGTCTTGGCCATCGGGCCTAGGTCTTTCCATGAGGTGTCAGAGGATCTGGTGAGAGATATGTGTGGGATAGCTGTTTCCCAATGATGGTAGAGATGTGTCATGTTCTCTGGAAGATGGGCTAAGATGAGCATGGTACCTGTGGGGTCCCATAACAAGTCAGTCAGGGTAATTGGAATTTCCTTGAGCTGGAATAATTCTTCCTCATAGTTCATATCAGGGCCTGGTCTGTCTTTAAACCATAAGGTGCAGTGAAGTAGGGCCTCTGATTGTTCATTATGTGGGGGTGCAAGTGCAGGCAGCTGCAAATCTGCTCAAACCTCTGGGTTGATGTCCAGGCTATACCAGTAATGCACAATTCCCCCCTTGGGAAGTGGCAGAAGAGTGGCGGGTTCAGGGAGAGACATCGCTGAAGTTCCACATTGTCAGGTTACAGTAAGGATGTTTGTAGACGAAGGTAACGTTGAGAAGAAAGGTGCTTAGGTTGAGTTTGTTGCAGGATTGCAGTAATGTCATGAGGGGCCAACACTGTGAGGTGGTGGCCAAGAACAAAATCATTGGTCTTGTCCAGGAGGGCGCTGGCGGCAAACACCGCTCTGAGGCAAAAGGGAATACCTCTCGCAACAGGGTCAAGCATGCAGGAGCCAATAGGTCGTTGTCTTGATCCATGTTTCTGGGTGAGGACTCCGGAAGCATGTCCTGATTTTTCAGAGACAAACAGATTGAAAGGAAGTTGGTAGTTGGGTAGGCCCAAGGCAGGTGCAGAAGCAATAGCTCTTTTCAAATTGTGGAAACAGATGATAGTTTCTTCAGTGAGGTGAAAGGGCTCACTCCTGAGGGCATCATAGAGTGGCTGCATGAGCTTTGATGCTTCGGGTATCCAGGACCTGCAGTATGTGATAAGACCCAAGAAGGCATGAAGAGTCTGATGTGGTGCAGGTAATTGGAGTTGCAAAACAGCTTGTACACGCTGAGAAGTTAGATGTCTGGTGCCATGGGAAAGACAATGTCCCAAGAAGACCACAGAGGGCCGGCACCATTGCAGCTTGGATTTGGAAATTTTGCAACCTGCAGCAGCGAGGAAACATAGGAGATCTTCTGAGTCACGCTCTGCAATAAGCAAATTAGGAGCACAGAGAAGGAGGTCATCAACATATTGAAGTAGAATAACATCCAGATGAGTATGGGGGTTTGGAACAATAGCAGTGTCCTTTATGGTTACTTCTTTAACAGCACGGAGGTCCTGTACCATGCGGTACTGGTCGGGTTGGCCCTTAACAGTTCACTTTTTAACAGGGAAAAGTGGGGTGTTGCATGGAGATGTGCACTTGGTGAGGGCACCTTTGGCAAGCAGAGACTCAACTTGTGTGGTGATGGCTTCAGCTTGTGCTGGCTTCAGAGGATACTGAGGTCTACGAGGAGGAAGTGCTCCAGGCAGGAGCTGGACCAGGACGGGGGGTACACGTAAGCGTCCAATATCATCCGGGCCGGTGGACCAAAGTTCTTGGGGGATACGATCCAGAGCACTGGGGGGGGGTGTGACCCGTGCACTCCCTGTATTGTCAGTTAGGTTCAACAAGATGGGGAGTGAGCAGAGTACAGTGGTGTCTGTCTGTGATAAGGGTGTAGTTAACTGGACCCTGGAGCTGAGAAAGAACATCAGCACCCAAGAGGTTAATGGGACAAGTAGAAGAAACAACAAAACGTGAGAGTATGTATGAACCAACATGCAGGAGTGTAGTGAGGGGGCTACTGCGGGGTGTACCATCCACCCCAACACAGGAGACATCGGTGTCTGACAAAAAGGAGGGGTCATGGCAGGGGTTGCTGACACAGGCTTGCCGGTAACCTATTGCAGTAAATCTAAATGGGCCTGGTCGGGTCCTTGGTACCGGCGGGTAGAAGTGGGAGGGTGGCTGGACTGCATAGGAGCACGGGCAAGGCGGCTTTGTCGAGGTAGGGGCTGAATATCTCGGAAACCACCCGTGTCAAACCCATCAGCATGAGCTGGAGGGTATGCACGGGCCTCTAAAGCAGGGGGCCGGCTGGGATGGGCGGGATAGGTGAGTATTAAGGACGTGAGCAAGGGCAGAGATTGGATCGGAAGGCTCGGGGACGTTAGCCGGGGGCGGAGAAGGGGTTGGAGGATCAGAGGGAGGAGGTGGAGGAGGTAAATCAGTGGGAGGCGGGGCAGGAATCGCGGAATTAACCAGGGAGGTAACAGCAGAGAAGAGGGCGGATATCGAGCTAGACAGGTCATTGGCCATGGTTGGGTCAGGGGTCACCGGGGGAGGGGTCGGAGGGATGGGAACAGGGGGCTGGGTCGTAACAGCGTGGGTAGAGGGTTGGGACGGGAAATCAGTCGGGAGGGGAGGAGGCAACGAGGTAGAGGGGACCGGGATATCGGGATGGCTTACCACTGGAGAAGGGGTTGGAGGGGTGGGAACGGGGGGCTCATTCAGGGCGGTAAGGGCAGAGATTAGGGACAGCAAATCAGCCGAGAGGGGAGGAGGCAACGAGGTAGAGGGGACCGGGATATCGGGAGGAGGAGGTAACACTGGAGAAGGGGTTGGAGGGGTGGTAACGGGGGGTTGGGTCAGGGCGGTGAGGGCAGAGATTAGGGATGGCAAAACGGCCGAGGGAGGAGGAGGCAACGAGGTTGAGGGGGCCGGGACTTCGGGAGGAGGAGGTAACACTGGAGAAGGGGTTGGAGGGGTGGTAACGGGGGGTTGGGTCAGGGCGGTGAGGGCAGAGATTAGGGACGGCAAATCAGCCGAGGGAGGAGGAGGCAACGAGGTAGAGGGGGCCGGGACTTCGGGAGGAGGAGGTAACACTGGAGAAGGGGTTGGAGGGGTGGTAACGGGGGGTTGGGTCAGGGCAGTGAGGGCAGAGATTAGGGACGGCAAATCGGCTGAGGGAGGAGGAGGCAACGAGGTAGAGGGGGCCGGGACTTCGGGAGGAGGAGGTAACACTGGAGAAGGGGTTGGAGGGGTGGTAACGGGGGGCTGGGTCAGGGCGGTAAGGGCAGAGATTAGGGACGGCAAATCAGCCGAGAGGGGAGGAGGCAACGAGGTAGAGGGGACCGGGATATCGGGAGGGGGTACCACTGGAGAAGGGGTTGGAGGGGTGGGAACGGGGGGCTGGGTCAGGGCAGTGAGGGCAGAGATTAGGGACGGCAAATCAGTCGGGAGGGGAGGGGACAACGAGGTAGAAGAGAGGTCCGGAGGCATAAGGGAAGCGGGATCAGCGGGAGGACAAGGGTCTGGAGGATCTGGGGCGGTGGGGTGAGTAAGGTCGAGAGGGCAGAGAGCGGGGCAGCGGATGGAGACGGGTGAGTGGGTAACACTGGGGAGGGGTCAGTCGAGGTGGAGAGGGGACGAGAGGCAAGCATAGGTAAAGGTGGCGGGGGAATGTCATTTAACGTGAAGGATGTTACTGTAAACATACGATTTTTAACTAGCAAGATTCTATTAAGTAAAGATACAATGTTTAAAATAACTTGCATTAATTTGCAATATCCCTTGTTGCAAGACACAGGCATTAATGAATAATCATCAGGATAATTAGCTGTAATGCTCTTATATTCGTGCCCTACAGAACTCATTTGTAGGTCACACCACAGGTGCAAATGACTCTTTAGCAACCTCTTTTTTTTTTTTTTTAAATATCACGGACACATCTCTGATACAGGGAAACAAATGGCATGATTGTTTTAGTTAATATAACGTTTCAGTTCATAATATGTAGAGTGTAATGTCTCTAAATAGGACGAGCATGATAGGGGTAGGCCTCATGATGGAGGCAGCCATGACAGGGGCGGGGAAGGAAATGACAGCAAGGGAGGAAGTGAGGTGACGTCCATGATAGGTGTGGGAAAGGAAGACAGGAGGTATGGGCATGGTAAGGGCGGAAGTGACGTTACTTTAGAAGCAACCGTGACTGTAGATAGGTCACGGGACTTTCAGGGTCAACCTGCTTCTGTACTAGGCGCCATCTTTAGGGTGGTGGCTGACGTACTTTCAACAATACACCATATTATAACTAATAAAATAAGCCAGAGAAGCAACATTCCGTTCTGCAAAATGAAATATTAAACTATGAACAGACCTGGCAGGTTAAATAAGACAGTTGAGAACATTATGCATTTAACAGCCCATAAAGCTATCCATTGAAAAATGTACTTTAACATGAAGCAAGATAAACTCACGGAATTCAACCAATTTCCCTTAACATCCTCTAACCATTAATCACTTTCCTCCTCTTATACAGACATAACAACATCGCATATTCCCCTTAACAAGCTACAAGCTACACCTTCCTAAATCCCGTATTCAACACTGAATGCAATCTTGTGAGCTCGTCACTCCCACAATCCTCAGTACCTTATCTCAAAAATTAATTAAAAAATATATATAGCACTGTTGTAGAATTATTAGGCCTCTATAAATCTGTAAGGCCCCTTTAAATCCTCTTGTTATACCTCTAAGAGGCCCCCATAGTTTTACAAGGAAGCTTTGTCTATAGAACATAGAATTTGCATGTCAGCAAGAAATAGCTTTGATAAAATGTGTATTTACTAAAATCCTTGAAACTTAACCTTGAGAAACTAACAAGTGCCAGCTACGCTCCAAATGGATAGCTGCCAAAAGGCCCCTCCCGTCGAGTGAGCTCCTCATTTTAGCAAGATGGCGCTAAAACCTGTAGGAGTTAAGAAATTACGTAGATAGTGACCTAAGAATGGGGAGGGCATTTTACTAACATCTTAGCACCTAAGCCAATTAACAATGTCTATTTGTCTATATCTTGATTTTCTTCAATGATGTAATAATGCCTTTATAAGGGTCTGCGCACCCATTTTCTGTCAGAAGCCATTAAACTTCTCTGAAGTTCTTTCATTACCCTGAACCTTGTGTCTCAGTGTGAATTTACTTCTGCGTGCACGCAACTTTATTATCTTTAATTTGGACAGGAACAGATAGTCATTCAAACTAATTGGTTTGCAGTAAATTATCTAGAACAATTGGCTCTCAACGTGGGGCTCTGGGCTATGTCCAGTCTGGGCAGCTGTCCAAGAAGACGCTGGGGGGGCTGAATCCTGGGGGAAGGAAAAGAGCCTGATCACCTCTGAATACACGGTAGAGATTGCTGCAGCACCTAGCCGGTATGTTCCTACCCCTGTGATTGACCTGCCCCAGTGTCTGTGACTGCTGCCGAGAGGACATCAAAGTCAGGTAATAACTTGCCCAGAGTCTTTGTATTGTTAATGATACCTAGTTTACCTGCATGTTGACTATCTGTTGCCTGGGTGTGTTTGTATTGGTATGTGTTTAACTTAGTACCCGGGGAGTGTAAGTGCCTGTTTAACCCCTTTTAGGTACCACATGCCTGTGGTAGTAAGGAAAAAAGGGGGTGGACCTGTGGAAGTTTTCCTGGGGGTCCTCTATTGCCTGTTTAACTCTTTTAGGAGCCACGTGGCTGTGGCTGTAAGGAAAAAGAGTAGGGGGGATCTGTGGAGGGCAGTAGACTCACTGCTTCCTGGGGATCCCCAGAGTGTCATTTTGACCACTTAGCTAGCCTCATCAGACACTTCTTCTTGGTAAAATTCCAGTCTCAAGCGCTGAGACAGGTAAGATTCCAATTCTTTAGGCTATACAGGATTCGGGTTGGAAGCTGTTGCTGTTTCCTGTGGCTGCTGGTAGTGAGACTTGCGGGTGGTCCGCAACAGGGACACTACGAGGTTGAGGGAGGTGGCTTTTGGCCACACGAGTAAAGGCAAGGGATAAAACTGTTGAACTTATTTGAACTGTGATGCATGCACTGTATTTACACTGAAATGTTATTGTCTTAATTGTCTGTCACACAGATTCCTGTGTTTACTTCTCTTACTCACTGTACTATTTACACTTTCCCCTCCTATTTCTCTTTCTCTTTGTTGAGAGAAGTGATTGGTCACACACTTCTCGCCACGCTCCAATCCGCGGCTACCACGGGTAGGCGGAATCAGTGACTAGTCTACGTTTTGGGAAGACGTACTTAAAGAGCTTGCTCTTAAAGTAGCAGTCGAGCACGGTAGACGTTCTGTTCCTTTCTCTCTCTATATCTGGGACGCCTTGTATGGGGAGGATGGGACAGAAGTTAGATAAACCCAGTAAGGGTTGGTTAGCATGTGATCTAGTGGAAGACAGAGAAGGAGAAGAGATGGTTAAGAAAGTGAGGAAGATTGCTAAAGTATGTGGAATTACCGTACCTCTGTGCGGCAGATTGTAGCCAGAGAGCTGGCGTAAGTTACTGACAGAGAAGAAAGGGAAGCTGTCGGACCAAGATTTGGTTTGTACAGCAGAAGCCTGGTACCGAGTAGCAAGAGCTATTCAGCAAAAGGGATAGGTTGAGGAAGATATTGATCACAAAGGTTTAAGATTGTATGTATATCATAATAATTGTGTTACTGGGATGTTATCCCAGCAGTGCCCTGTCCAGGAGGTGACCACTTCCATCATCCTGTCAGTAATGACCGAAATGTAGCTGACCATGGTCACCATCCCACCCCAATCTTAAAACGCTGTGGGTTTTTTTTTTGTATTTTGTGTTAGCCATTACCCTGGTAGAGGGTGGGGGTTTAAATGAAATGTTGTGTTTTTGTGTCTCTTTGCTTTGTAATGTAATTGTCCTTCTGTCTTGTTACTGTACAGCGTTGACATGGTTAAATTCGTGCTGGCAGGCAGTCTCTCTCTTGTTCCACTCAAATCCCCCTCTGCTAAAACACCCCCCCTCCCCTCGCTTCTGTGAGACGCGGGGGGGGTGACATGCTTGCGATTTAGGTCTGTCTCTTCGGTGTTCTGTAGAGTTATTCAGAAGCTACTGATAAGAGTATAAGGTACTGAGGATTGTGGGAGTGACGAGCTCACAAGATTGCATTCAGTGTTGAATACGGGATTTAGGAAGGTGTAGAGGGAATATGCGATGTTGTTAAGTCAGTATAAGAGGGAAAGTGATTAATGGTTTGAGGAAGATAAGGGAATTTGGTTGAATTCCGCGAGTTTATTTTGCATCATTTTATTATTTTAAAGTTATTTTAAAGTACATGTTTCTAGAAACAGCTGTATGGGCTGTTAAATGCATAATGTTCTCAACTGTCTTATTTAACCTGCCAGGTCTGTTCATAGTTTAATATTTCATTTTGCAGAACAGAATGTTGCTTCTCTGACTTATTTTAATAGTTATAATATAGTGTATTGTTGAAGGTGACGTCACTTCCGCCCTTACCATGCCCACACCTCCTGTCTTCCTTTCCCACACCTATCATGGACGTCATCTCACTTCCTCCCTTGCTGTCATTTCCTTCCCTGCCCCTGTCATGGCTGCCTCCATCATGAGGCCTACCCCTATTATGCTCGTCCCATTTAGATAATTACTGGAACAATCATGCCATTTGTTTCCCTGTATCAACAATTTGTCCGTGATATAAAAAAAAAAAAAAAAGAAGGTTGCTAAAATGTAATTTGCAACTGTGGTGTGACCTACAAATGAGATCTGTTGGACACGAATATAAGAGCATAACAGCTGATTATCCAGCTTCATCTTGCAACAAGGGAAATAGCTAAATAATGCAAGTTATTTTAAACATTGTATCTTTACTTAATCGAATCTTGCTAGTTACAGATCTTATGTTTACAGTAACATCCTTTACTTTAAATGATGGTTTAGCATTAGAAGGGTTTGTGGCATGTTTTATTAACCCAGCCACTACTGGTTGTTTACTTAGTTACAGGGTGGTATAATTGTTATAGTCTAATTAATATAAATGATAGTACCGCAATAGTTAATGTTTTATCCAAAGACATATAGGAACTTTACTTAACTTACTATTAACCATTATTTATAATGATAGACATGTTCAGACTGCAAAAAAGCTATGGCTAATGCCCCTGCCATGGCAGTGTCTACAGGGAACAAGGGGGGCCACTAGCCACTGTAACTTTACCTATTGAAGGTCACCCTACTGCTTTCCTGGTTTCCTGGTTAACACAGGTGCATCCCGCAGTGTTCCTAGAGAACAAGACCTGCCTGACTCATCGTTCCTGCCTGACACCGATGTCTCTTGTGTTGGTGCTGATGTCCTATCCCGCCTCCAAGCATCCATCACCCTCACTGCAGACGGCCAGGTTCAATTAAATACGCCTTTGCCACGAAAAGACACTACAGTTCTTTGTTCCCTTCCCATTTTACTGTGGAGATGATCTACCCACAACAGAACAATGCTCAATTAATCTTCTTTACTATGTAGCAGAACAAGGATGTGAAGCTTCACGTCTCAAGCTGCAATTCTGCCAACCTACTGTTATCTTCCTTGGCCATTGTCTGTCTCAGGGAACCAGACATCTTACCCGTGACCGAGTTAGAGCGGTACTGGACATTCCACCTCCAAGGACCTCGAAGTCACCACACGCCTTCCTAGGCCTCATTTCCTATTGCCGAGCATGGATCCCAGAAGCCTCGCTCCTTCTGCAACCTCTTTATGATGCTCTCAAGTCAGACCCATTTTGCTTGTCCACAGAAGCCCTTGACAACTTCTGTTCTCTCAAAAGTGCTATTGCTTCTGCTCCTGCTCTTGGCCTACCAGACTATACCAAACCCTTCAAATTGTTTGTTTCTGAAAGACAAGGCCATGCAACAGGAGTACTCACTCAGGCCCATGGTCCTGGAGGCCGCAAAAGGCCTATTGGATTTTTCTCCTGCCAACTGGATATTGTGGCCAGAGGACGTCCCACTTGACTTCGGGCCGTCTTTGCAGCCAAAGAGCTCATTGAAAGAACTGGAGATCTTGTCCTTGGCCACCCCCTGGTTGTCTTGGCCCCTCATGACATTTCTGCCATAGTCAACCAGGTCCAACTTAAGCATGTTACTCCTGCCAGGCATCTTCGCCTTCAATGTCATCTTTTGTTGCCTGACAACATTACCCTCCAAAGATGTCAAGTTCTCAATCCGTCCACTCTTCTGCCACTCCC